AGAACCTGGATCGAATAGAACCAATGGATCTCTGTGGCAAACTAATATAATACCTGTGATGACAGAATCAAAGGCAACAGCCTCGATACGAGCCGGAAGGGCATAGTATCTGGCCTGGCCTCCCTCTCTAGGGTGACCTCTACCTCCCCGACCTCCACCTCTAGCTGGTTGAGCAGGTGGGGTAGCAACTAGAGCTGTAACCATAGCCTAAGAACTCTGCGGGGCACGCTGTGAACTGAGAAGTCTGTGGAGGTGCACCCCTCCCAAGTCTGGGGCAATCCCACACCATATGACGTGTGTCACCACACTCAAAACAAACTCTGGGAGGGCGTGGTGGTTGTGATTGGCTAGGTCCAAGTCTGCTGGACTGACCTCTGAAAGCACCCCGCGTAGGAGGCGCGCTAGATACCGGTGGTGCATAATAATGCTCCTGAGGTCTAGGAGGAGCTGGAGCACTACTGGCTGCTGGAAGAGCTGAATGAACATGACGACTCATATAACCCCTACCATGATGACCTACAGCTAGGGTACGGGCACCAGAATAATGGCCCAACTTTCGAGACCTCTTGGACTCCCTCTCCTCTCTCTCCCTAGTGTGCATACCCTCAATCCTCCTAGCAATGCTCACCACCTGCTGATAAGAAATATCCATCTCCAACTCACGAGCCATGCTAGACCTGATGCTAGGAATAAGGCCCTCAATAAACCAGCGAACTCTCTCGCGAATAGTAGAAACCAAGGCTGGTGCATGCCTAGCCAAACTAGTGTAACGGACAGCATACTCTAAGACAGTCATAGCGCCCTGGTGTAAATGCTCAAACTCTGCGCGCCGTGCATCCCTGAGGCTCTAAGGAACATACTCTCTTAGGAACAGATCTGAAAACTGAGTCCAAGTTAGTGAAGCAGCCTCATCCGGACTGTCTAACTCATAGGTGCGCCACCACTCATAGGCGGCTCCTCGAAGCTGGAAGGTAGTGAAGGAAACCCCGCTCGATCCTGATATACCCATGGTACGGAGAATGCGGTAGCTCTCAACAAGAAATCCCAGAGCATCCTACGATGCGAGACCACTAAATATAGGAGGCTTGTACTTCTTGAACCTCTCAAGCCTCAACTGCTCATCTTCGGAAGCCGCTGCCCTGTCCTCGGGCTGAACTGGCACTGCAGACGGTATAAGAATAATCTCAGGGACCTGCTCAACATGCACTCACTGCTCAGGAGTGCGGGCGGTGGGAGTCTGTGCTCCTCTCCCGGCCTAGGATGTGGCTACTGCAAGGGGAAGCAACCCTGCCTGAGCCAAAGTGGTGTACATGCTCATGAACTGTGCCAGAGTCTCCTGAAGAGCTGGAGTAGTAGTAGCAGTAGGCGTGTCAGGTGCCTAGACTCCGGCTGGAACTGTTGGTGGTACCTCGGCAACAGCTCGCGTAGGTGCTTTGGCTGCACCATGTGCACGTCCTCGGCCTCTACCCCGGCCCCAGCCTCTGACGGCTGCAGTAGGGGGCGCGGGTGCCTGATCATCTTGAGTAGCACGTGTCCTCGCCATCTGTGATAGAATAGAAGACAAAAGTTTAGAATTGTGATGTCAAAATATCGCACGACAAGGAAATTAAATGAAGTGAAATTTTTCCTAACGGTTACATAGCCTTTCGTAGATAAGTACAGACGTCTCCGTATCGATCAGCAGGACTCTAATAAACCGTCTTGTGATCCGTGACTCCTATGAACCTAGAGCTCTGATACCAACTTGTCATGACCCCGGTTCGCCCTCCGTGAACCATCGTGATGGCACCTAGTCTCTACGACTAGGTAAGCCTAGTTTGCGAAAGAAAAACCCAAAATTTTGCAGAAGTAAACAATTTAAAACAGAAATAAAGCAGTAACAGTGTTTAAATGTGCCGCTCAGCATACACCATGCTTAACTCTTAATACCAAAACATAAATCCAAGACCCGAAAACCCACAAATCACAAGCTAAGATCAATACTACATGGCTCTAATTCCGGAATGTCTAATAAGAACAGAAAACAAATACAGATGGGCTAAAATACTAAAAGCAGAAATAGAAAGAAACTTCTCGGTCTGCGGACGTGGCAGATGTACCTCGAAGTCTCTAGAGCAGTCGCCTCCTCAAGGATGATAGGCCTGAGTAGCGGTACCTGGATATGTACATGAAAAACATGCGCAGAAGGGGCATGAGTACACCACATCGGTATTCAGTAAGTGTCAAGTCTAACCTCGGTTGGGTAGTGACGAGGAAAGTCAGGGCCCTACTGAGATTAAATAATTATAAAGATGACAGGATAAGATAAGCAGTACAATTGAGAATCTACAGTAAGAATCTACACAGGATAATAAGAGTACAATAACGGAAACAGAGATGAAGGCAAACCACAAAGAAGTAACTGGGGATCTCTCAGTATCTCGAGGATCTCTTAGTACCCTCAATATATACCAGGGATCTCTTGGTATCCCGAGGATCTCTCGGTATCCTCAATATATGCTAGGGATCTATTGGTATCCCGAGGATCTTTCGGTATCCTCAATATATGCTAGGGATCTCTTGGTATCCCGAGAATCTCTCGGTATCCTCAATATATGCTAGAGATCTCTTGGTATCCTGAGGATCTCTTGGTATCCTCAATATATGCTAGAGATCTCTTGGTATCCTGAGGATCTCTTGGTATCCTCAATATATGCTAGGGATCTCTTGGTATCCTGCACCTCAGTTCAGATCATAATACGTACATGGGATCTCCTGGGATGCCGTCCCGTAGTCCCAAATTAAAAACACATAGAAACAACACAAGAATACTCAATTAAATGCAAATTCTGTACCAAGTAAATAGTTAATTCTAGCCTAACATGCTTCACGTAATGCAATTAAAGCAATTTAAGCAAATAGGCAATTAAGTCAACTAAACATGTTTTTCTAAACTACAACATGCTAAATTCGCAAGTAGAGTAAAGCAGGAAAAAGGAACTCAATTGAAATACTTAAAGTAAAATCGGATTTTCAACAATTAGCTCAAGTACGAACCCGTCACCTCATGTACAAGGCATTTCAATTATCAAATATATCATATCCTAAGGGGAAGGTCCCACACACAAGGTTAGAAAGCCACTTACCTCGAACCGACTCAAAATCAATCCAAAACCATGCTCTTGCCACGAGTACTCGACTCCAAATGGCCCAAATCTATTCAATTCAATGTCATAATGTAAATAACACTTCAAGTAACTGATTCTACAATTAAATTCTAAGCTAATACGTGAAATTATGTAAAATGACCAAAATGCCGCTCGGGACCACATCTCGGAATCGGGTGAAATTTATATTTTTAGAAACCCCGTACTCTCACGAGTCTATACATAATAAGAACACTGAAATCGGAGTCTAAATGACCTTTCAAATCCTATATTAAAGGCCTCTTAAACTCAAGCCCTAATTACCTATTTTTCCCAGATTTCTCACCACTAATTAGGTCTTTAATCACATAAAAATGAGTTATGAAGTCAAGGACGTTACCTCCAAGTGATTCCCCTTTGTTTTCCTCAAAAATCTCTCTCAAAAGCTTCAAACCCGGATGAAAATGGTGAAAGAATCCCTCAAATTCGAGAAGGCAACTATTTATATGTTCTGCACAGCGATTTCCGCATTTACGGCCCTGGGACTGCATCTGCGGTCCCGCTTCTACGGACACAACGTCGCATCTATGACTTTCATTAAAATGCTAACTTCTGCATCTGCGGACCTCTAACCGTATGAGCGGTTCCGCTTCTGCGAGCCCTTCACCGCACTGCGGTTCCTGAGGAATTGACACAAAGCCGCTTCTGCGGCGTCGCATCTGCGGTCCCCAAGCCGCAGATGCGAAAATACTAGAAGACCAGCTGTTGCAGCAACTTCAACTCCAAAATTTTCTCCGTTAACCATCCGAATTCATCTTGAGGCCCCCGGGACCTCAACCAAAGGCATCAAAATATCCTAAAATCTTATTCAAACTTGTACCAATCTTCAAAACACTTCAAACAATACCAAATCAACCAAAACACATCGGATTCAAGCCTAAGTTTCTAAAATCTTCCGAATTTCGCTTTTGATCAAAAACCCAACCAAACCACGTCCGAATGACCTGAAATTTTGCACACACATCCCAAATGACATAACGGAACTACTGCAACTCTCGAAATTCCATTCCGACCCTCGGATCAAAATCTCACTATCAAACCGGAAACTTCCAAAATTCAACTTTCGGCATTTCAAGCCTAAATTAGCACGGACCTCCAAAACACAATCCGAACAAGCTCCCAACCCCAAAATTACCCATCGGATCTAACGGAACCATCAGATTTCCATTCTGAGGCCGTCTTCATACTATCCCGACTACGGTCAACTTTCCAACACTTAAGCTCTCATTTAGGGACTAAGTATCCCAAAACTCTCCGAAACTTAAAACCGAACATCCCGTCAAATCAAAATAGCAGAAAAAAACTTGGAAAAAGCAGTTAATAGGGGATAGGGGCGTTAATTCTTAAGACGACCGACCGGGTCGTCACATCGTGGGTGGAGATTTGAATCTTCATTTACGAAGTCCTTCCGCTTCCTCATAATAATAATAATAATAATAATAATAATAATAATAATAATAATAATAATAATAATAATAATAATAATAATAATAATAATAATAATAATAATAATATATCTTAAGAAAATTAAATGAGGAAAAATGCAAAATTTTACAAGTAAAGGGCATTTCTCCCTAAATGCCAAATAGTATACTAGAGATTCATTAAATATTACAAACAAAATCCCCAATTTTGGCAAAAACACAAATCTCTCTTTGAAAATAAAAATTCCATATAGGGCAGATTTACAAATTCCAGAAATCTCATGAGGACTAAAGTGAAATTACNACTAAAGTGAAACTATCCCAAAGTAAAAATAAAGAAACTTTAGGGGCATAAATGTCCTAGTATTAATCGGAATCGGATCCTATATTAGGGCTTGAAACTCAAAACGAACAAATCGTCGCTGGCGGGAAGATTCTCATGCAATTAACCGAATCGTCAAATTTTCCTCTAAAATATAAAGTTTCTCCGGAAAATGTCATTCATCGATGAATTTCAAGCCAGTAAGTCTGAATTTTAGTTTTAAAGTTTTATTTACCATACTTTTTTTTTTGTATAATTGTTATCTGTTCCTATTTCTGTATTATAGATTTATCGAATGTAGCGTTATTTTGTATTTTCTTTAATGTAGAGCTTAAAACAACAAAAACAACAAATCCAGTACAATTCCACGAGTGGGGTCTGGACCTTAGACAATTCCACGAGTGGGGTCTGGACCTTACCCCTACCTTGAGGGTAGAGAGTAGAGCCGTCAAAACCCGCTACTTGGATAGGGCTGGGTTGGGATTTTTTTAGCCCATTTAAAATTGAGGCTTATAAGCGCGGCCCAAGTCATCCCGCTGGCCCTTGAGGCTTGACCGAGGTTGGGTCTGGGCTGGCCCATGGGCCAAAAATTAATTAAATTCATTTAAATATTTAAAAAAAGTAAAAACTAAAAAAATATTAACTATAATCCCCATTTTTCAACCTTAGATTGCTCATTTACCCTTCCATGTCAACTAGAATTTATATTTTTGACATGCATGTAGTATGACAAGATTAGTTTTTCTTTTGCTTAATTAACAACGAACTAGGAAAGTTTTAAGTGGCCAATAATAATATTTTTCAAAAGAAAATATTACTTTGAGTGGCCAATAATCAGTCTGGTTACTTTAATATATTATTAATTATTAAATTGTTCTTCAGTATAGAAATGGTCAAGTTTTAATACCTAAAGAAAATTGATAACACTAGCAAATTTCACGAATTTTTAAAATTTATGGATTATAATGATGAAATCAACAAATAATGTTAAACCTAAATAAAAACCATTAACATATAAACTTATTAAAGCAATTCCTGAACCTAAGGAAAGTGAAAGAAAAGTACTAAAAAATATTCATGTAATGTTAAAAAAAGAAGAGATATAGAGAATTTGCGTTTCAATTACGAGATTCCTTGTCAAATATTAAGATTCTTGTACACCTAAATAAACAGAAGTCGTTCATATGATTAAGAGATTAGGTCACGAAAAAATATCTAAAAATTGAAAAAATATTTTTTTCTAAAAGAATTGAAGGGCCGGCCCGTCCTAGCCCGCGACCCTCTTAGGGCTAGGCTGGGCTGGTCATTTTAAGGCCCATCTAGATGGAGGGCCAGCCCACCCTAACCCATCAAATTTAAAAGCCCACGAGACTTGGACTGGGTTGGACTGGGCTAGCCCGTTTTGACAGCTCTAGTAGAGAGGCTGTTTCCGACAGAGCTTAAAGGTTTCCATTTTTTCAGATTTAACAATTTTTTATTTAATGTTACTATACATTCCCAATGTGTAAGTAAGGACAATAATTGGATTGATAAATTTAGTTTTCCAAATAACTTAAGCATATATGCTGCTAATGTCTGTTGGGGCTTTATGTGTAAGGCGCAAATATAGCGGCGAGAAGAAAATTCCAAAAATTAAAAAGTAATCTAGAATAATAACTTTAAACGCAACTTGTATTGGTGGAAGATAGCAGGTACCCGGTGGAATAGTCGAGGTATGCACAAGCGGGGGCGGACACCACCGTCATAAAAAGTGATAAACTATTAGCACAATAAAATAATTATATATAAAAAGGAAATGGATTTTTTTTTAAAGTTTGTAACTTAGTGAAGTAGTTATTATTTAGTAGTGCCCACTTCATGACATAACCCATTAGTGATATGATGCATGCCTTACTTTCCTGGTGGCCTGAATTGAAATGTTGCCTAAGCGAGGCGAAACGCTGAACCTATTCTAGTTTCGAGCATGATATTCAGTATTGTCTATGCAAGTGTGATGCATTACTAATTATGGATGAATTAGTTCCTCTGTGTAATTCTGCATTGATTTCTAACAAGTTGCTATATTGATGACATTGTCTCAGATATAGAAGCTCTTCCGAACCATTTACGGAGGAAATATGCCTTATTGCGTGATTTAGATAAAAGTCTGCAAGGTATTACTTATAGTGCAAAGCTTTATATACTATTGGACTATTAAAGTTCTCTTATGCAAGTGAGCTGCTTTCCAACTTTCCATTGTATTGTGCTTAATTAAGTACAATTGTACAATATCTAGTAGATTGATAATCCACTAGCATTCTGAGTCTGGAAAGTTTATGGATTTTAAGTGGAATAAGGAGCCATCTTTGGCACAATGCTGACAGGCAGCTTATTGTAGCGTGTAGTCCTTCATGTAGTCCCTTTGCACCATATCTGATGGAACGTCTACTACTGCCATTACCTAGTTTAGTAGAAGCTTCAGTGGTATATCATCGTTAAGTTGCAGAACAAAACAGTACCATTCTGATTGCCAGTGTTCAACTGGTTCAGCAATTAGCCATATCGCCCCTTTGTTCTGTTTTACAATGCAAAGATGATCATAAGTATACTCCTGATTGGAGAAGGGAATATAGGGTGATTTTGTAAGATTCTCAGTATTATTTAGCATTGCTGTGTTAGTAGCCCGACACGAGCACAGTAGGTTAGTGGTGTATGTTGTTTCTTTGTTGCCTAGTGTATGGCATTATTACCAAGAAAGTGCTTTTCTTTTCCCCTGAACAGGAGTCCAGAGGCAAAATGAGCAACGTTGTGAGAAAGAAATAGAGGATATGATACAGCGTATTAAGGCTGGTAACGTGACACCAGACTCTTCACTAATCAAATTCTCTGATGATGCATTGGATGAGCAAAAGCATGCAATCCGAATTGCTGATGAGAAAGTTGCATTAGCTTCTCAGGCATATGATCTGGTAGGTATTTTGGGAATTGCATCCTCTTTCTACATCAAGCAAACAGTTTCGTTCAATAGTCACAGTTCCTTCAGTTCAATTATTCTAGGTGCAATTGCTCTAAGCTCAATTGGTCATTCTCCTATTTTTAGCGTCCTTGTTAAGTTGGAAATGGATGATCAAGTGGTTATTCTCTTGATGCTTGAATTGGATAAAATGTAGAAATGGTTTTGTGAGTGTGTTAATCTTTGAAATATTTTGTTCATTTTTTACCTGTAGAAGAAGTTTTTGTCTAAATTCCCTTTGTTCCTGAATAACAAAAGAGAAAGATTACGGCATTAACCAGACAGTCATTCTGAGTAGCAATTATGACAAAGTCCCTGTTTGACTGTATGGTGGATAGGGCAATTTTCCAATTTTGGCATTTTAAAGGACACACAAAAATGATCATGATTCTGATCATAATATCATGTCCTAAAAAAATTTGTATGAATTCCAAGGGCTATGTCTAAGGAGCTTCTGTTGAATTTTTATTGATCACCCCATACGTGAACTTAGTTTTGGTTGCTGAATCCCGACTATTTTTGAGATCTCAGCTTCCTTGAAAATATGCTCCAATATATGGCCCAAGACAAGATTATGCAGGTGTTAATTGAACGGATATCCGGCATGAATACAAACTGATACAACGAAAAGGAGTAAATGATTTTGATAAGATGAATACGAAAAGGAGTAAATGATTGGTTGTACGCATATTTCTTCACTTCTGACATGCACTATTGTTTTTATTTTTTTCAATCAAGTGATCATTGTGTGGTTTGGAATTGAGGTGTGATAAGAGTTGTAGTTTTTGCTGATTATTCGGTCATCAGTAACTCTTTATGACAATTAGTGAGAAATTCTTGAAACAGGTAGACGCTCACATTCAGCAGCTCGATCAGTACTTGAAAAAATTTGATGAAGAGCTCCGGAGAGGTATGTTTGTATCAGCTTCATCATCTCTTCACCAAGAACAGTGTCCAAACTTACTCGTTTCTCTGACTGTTGAACAACTTTCTCTTTATGGATTCTCTTTTATGCAGAAAGAGATGTTGCTGTTGTTACTGGAACTCCTGCTACCACTGTTGAAAATAATGGAAAGTCCGGAAGGTCTGGTGAAGGTAAGGGAGGGCGCAAGAAGTAAGTGATATATCTCTATCTTATTCCTATGCTTATTACATTTTTCCTGCAGTATTGATCTAAATAGCCATCCAACGGAATGATCCCCATATTTCACCATTTCTAATGCTTATTGCACTTTGTGGATGATTGTTCTTTATTTATTTAATTAGTATCATTTCCTATTTGAAATGGAAATCTAATAAGAAGCCTCAATCATCTAAAAGAATAAATTGATTATGTGTTGAAAGTCAAGAGATCAATGTTGCTAAAAGTTAGAATATGTCTTGGTTAATAGTATGGATTATTCTATTTGGTCATCTCATAATTTGGAATTTAGTATTCAGGAAATTTTCTTAGCCTAAACTATATTTACTTAGGAAAATTAATTTAGCCTGAACTTTTTTATTTCTTCAGCTTAAATTTACCTATTTCATGTAACCTAAACTATTAGGAGCTTCCATTTATGTTATTCACCAACCAATTCTAGACAAGTTTCTTTTTCTATTTTCATATGGTGTCGGAGCCTCTACGACTTTGTGTAAAGACCAATGTAATGTTGGCCTACTGGCTGACTGCTTATGATGCCTACTTTGCCAATGTACTTTGCCTGCAAGATATTTCAACCAGGTCTTGCAATCCAACTACTTCTTAGTCCTGAAAGTTCTTCCTAACCCTTACGGCCCAAAGAACTTCTCCCTTTTGTACCCTTCGAATCTTCTCTTGTCATCTCCTTCTGCTTGAGATACTGTAAATGTTCGGCGATGTCTCAAAGTCACTTCCTACACCACTTGCAGGGGCGGCGACCCTATAGAATATGTGGTCTAAAGCCAAAATCTTAGGAGGCCTTAAGTTTGTTCAATAACTTTTTTGTATATTTTATTTGGAGTGTATCCTTTTAACTTCTTAAAATGTAAAGTAATGATTTTTTGATTTTTTATAATCAATTTCTTTTTTGATTGACTATATCCAAATCTTGAAATCTTTCTTGAGATAGTGTTGATCTTAACCAAGATCTTATTGATCTTAATGTTTTAAATTTTCTTTCAACTGAGATAATACCGAAAATGTTTAAATTATTCTATAAGCAATAAAATATTTATGAAAAGAAGAACAAAGACTTCACCTGATTGAGTATGTCAATTAGAATATTATCCTCTACTTCTAAAATTTCTCTTAGCACTTTTAATTCCAAAATATAAGTTGAAACCATGAATATCATAGTGACTATTATGCTTTAAGAAAGGTTTAGTGTTAAGACTGGTTTTACAAATCTAATAGTTTGATATTCTAATTAGTTTGACCTTGAATATTTGCAATGGCACTCAAAGAATTGAAGGAAAATAGTACAAAGTCAAAGTTGCAAAGAAGATTGATTCAAGTTTAAGTGAATTAGACAAAAGAAGTAGGATTTAACTGCAATGTTTATTGGCTACAACTTTCAACTGTAATTACTTCAATCATATTTTAAAATAGTAGCATAAGCTTTGGAAATTTGTGCTTAATGGTTTGTGAAAGTTTGACAACAAAATTAAAAAAGACTCATTCTTTACTAATAAAAATTGCATATTATATACTTATATATAATTTGAGCAATTTTGAAATCTAAACTTTTGGGGACTAAAGCCCTTTAGGGTTAAGTTGGCCCTGACCACTTGTAACTTCAAAGTTGATCTGCTTTCATCCCCTACCCTGAAGGTTATGTTGCTGATGAAATCTCCGCTTCCTTTCATAATATTCCTCCAAAGTCCACATATAAAAGGAATTATGATATTTTCAGTCCTCCATCCCATGTCAACAATTCCATCCTTTTCTGCTATCCCCTTCCTCCATAGAGCGTGCTCCTCAACCCCCCTCCCCCCCAAAATTTTGTTGGGGACGTCACGTCCTCCCAGTTGACTAAGTGCAAAATATGCTATTCACAGAGATTCAAGATGAGTTCTCTTTTCTATTTATTTTCTCTGTTTTCACAATGAGCAATATATTGACGTAAATAATGAGGTATACCGCGTTATCTTGCCTTGTACCCTTGAGTCGTTGATTCTTGTAAAAGTTCAGGCTGACAATGATATAGGCTGTTAGGCAGAGTCGTAAATTATTGGGTGCTTAGGTCCTTCTCTATATAGGATTTATGGTCTTCTGTTAGGATGTTAAAGAAGTTCGTTCATGAGGACGGGAAATAGGTGTCTTAAGCGTTGATATAAGGAACTGTAATTCCGATTGCTCACTGGTCGGGGGTCGCTAGATACTCATTATTGCAAATAGGTGGCTTATCCATGCTGTACTGCCTTTTCAGTTAAACCAAAGCCCTGGGTGCAACTCTTGGGATTATAATTCTTACCTTTTATACGACGGAATGAGTTTTCTATGATTTTGAGTTTGTAATAGTTGAGAGAAGATATTTATTCCGAATGTTGGCTTGTCCAAGAGTGTGTTAGTGTGAATTTCTATTGAACACTGTATTTCTGCCACTAATCATGAAACAAGTTTCACTTTATTTTTATTTTATATGAAGTAATATTTTATTGGGAAGTGAGAAATTGGCTAAGGTTTCTTTTTGTTTACTTTGTTTTCTACAAAATGTGAGATATTAGTTGGAAAAGCAGTATTCACATTGGAGCAAATTAATACAAAAAGTCATGTCAGATTTTTTGCTGCAGAAACTAGAAAGGGGAACATTCTAAAAGATGCAGTTTTATTAAGTGTAAGCAGAAAAAATTGTCTGATGCATTAATTTGGACAAAATGGCTTCCCTTGGGCACTGAACCAGCTTAATTCACTTTTGGTGTTAGTTTTCCAAGTTTCCACATTTTTCGCCATGAAGGTTCAGTTTCTGTGGCCTGAATGATAAATGTCTGTGTGATTGTATATATCTGTCCTTGTGTAGTACAGACTAAACTTGTGTTAAAGGGAATAATTTCTTCTGCAGAACACGTCTTGCTACAGCAGCGGCAGCTACAGCCACTGCAGCAGCAGCAGCAACACCAAGTGGAATGGATTTGGATCTACCTGTTGATCCAAATGAACCAACATATTGTTTCTGCAATCAAGTTAGCTATGGTGAAATGGTTGCGTGCGACAATCCTAATGTATGTACTCAGCCAAGTTTCATCAATCCTCTTTTTTAACTTGATTAGATTGAACATTTGCTAAAATTTGATTACTCCTTCTACAGTGCAAAATAGAGTGGTTCCACTACGGCTGTGTTGGCCTTAAAGAACAGCCAAAGGGAAAATGGTTTTGCGCGGATTGTGCAGGAACACAAAAGAAGCGGAAAGGCAGATGATAGTAGTAGAAGAAAATAATTCAGTATACTGATTTAAGACGTTTTACCACCGGAAAAATTTATGTAGATACTGTACTTCTGTAATTTTGTTATGTGTAGCCATTATTAACAAGTCACTCTTGCATTCTAATTGTAGGAGGGAAGTACAATAAGTCAACAAAAAATTTACTCTTGTTTATTATGAACTATAACGAACAAATAAACTATTGTCTTTTACCAATCAACATATTTGTAATCTACACCTTGACCGTCTGTCAAATAAGCACCATCTTCCTTGACAGTCCATTGACAAACGATTGCACGGGCTGGAACACNATATATATGTTATACATGAATTATACTTATATTATATATCCGCCGGCTATTTTTAGTTTAAGAGATTAGGTAAACGGCTATTTGGGTTAATTCTTCAACGCACTTATCTTTATCATTGAATACCTTAAACCCTTAAAGTTCCACCAAAAATGGCAAAAAAAAAAAAAAACAGAGTTTTAGACCAATTGACATGAAATGACCAATTGATATTAGTTGTTGGAGCAATATTATGGTACCCTGTATCATTGTCTTTAGATGTAGAATGAACCCATAGTATAGGGGGCATTCATGCATAAATCTCATACTTTTGCCCGGTAAATATATTACATTTTGCTTGTGAAAAGCAAAAGAAGAAGATGCATAACAAAAAGATAGCCTTGATTTGTGAAAAAACCATGCCTAGAAACTGTTCAATTTTGCTTGTGTTTGGCTTCGTATAATCATGCATGTCTTATATAAAAGAAAAAATCTTTTAAGTACTTTCTAATTTTGTGAGTGGAGATTTATGATACCATCAAACATTGGCAAGTAGTTCATTCCTTTCCAATTTTGCAGTTATTGAGGTAATCCTTTACTAGTTTGACTATTTGGAATATGATTAATATTATGCCATTCGCGGGATTGTATATACGGACTTAGAAATCAAATATAATATGATAAATTTAAAATCTACAAAAAATCAAGAATTACATTGTTTTTATAGAGAACTATTTTCTTTAGCCTAAACCATGCCTCCATCTTGTTTTGGGCATGCTTCTCCATCTGCTCTTTTATATTCTGTATAATTTCCTCCCTTTATGTATATTTTAGTTCCTCTGAATAAGGATATCCAATTTGCTGCTTTGGCGCCATCTTTTTATTACTGCAAAGTGAATTTAGGTGTTTACAAAACATTCCTGTTCAAATTATTACCAGGAATGTTCATAATTCGGTAAAATTGAAATGGAACAAACTGAACAAAACAATTTGAAATAGAATAAAACAAAAGCTTAAAAGAGGAACACCGAACCGTACCAATTTTGATTATGTTTGATTTTGGTATAGCCTTTTAACAAATCAAATACTATAACTACATATTTACTGTGATCCCACAAGTGAAATCTGGGGAGAGTGGAATATATACAAACTTTACCGCTAATTTCTGTAAGATAGAGAGGTTGTTTCTGATAGACTCTCAGCTCAAGAAAAATATTTTTTAAAACAGGTCTGAAAAATACAAGAGTAAAAACAATTAAGACGAAAGTACTGGAGAAAAGAAAAGTATTGACAAAAAAATAGTAAAGATAACCAAAGTAAAAGAAACAACATCAGTAATAAAAGAAAATAAGATAATAATACAATTATTGTTATAAATAGAATTTTATTTATGGTGAATGTCTATATTTAGGGAGATTCTAGGATTTATTACTTGGTGGCTAAGTCACCCTCTCCCTATAAATAGAGGTTCTATTCCATTGTAAATCATCTCATATCAATAAGAATTCCCTCTCTCTACTTTGCTCTGCAATACTCTTCTTCTTTTATTATTATTTTATAACACATTATGAGCACGAGTCTCTAATTATCTATTGAAATTTAGCCTATATTAATACTCGTCTTTGAGAGCTTGATGGTACCACCCATGGCTGAAATCAAGATGAACTAATTCTGGTTTCTTGGATATTATATTGGACAATTGATACATTGGCTTTGCCAATGCAACGGTATAAATAGAGGCTTAATCATGGAAGCTGGCCACTGTCTTCCTTTAAAATTCCACCACGTTGTCCATTGATGAGCCTCCGCAATTAGATATATTAAAGGCAGTAGAGATGTACGTTTTCTACCTGCAAAAGTGAAAAGACAAGAGATTTCCAAGCTTTGGGAATAAATTCTGAATTTAAGGTAAGTATTTTATCTTATTTTTCTCTTTTAAATTCTTGAAAGTTTATAATTTGATTTTAAATACAAGTAAAGACGATAAATTTTGATTGTAATTCTAATGGAGTTTGAAAGAAATTATAACCACCCAAAGTGATAAAATTTCTATGTCTTGCCATTGTCACACCTCCTTTCTCCGCACCAGAAAGGGTGCAAGGGAGTTTTTCCAATCAAAGGACAAACGAAATGGGATTGGTTTATTAATTTCAGAGTCGCCACTTGGGAGATTTAGGGTGTCCCAAGTC